CCCAAGTAGCTGGGACCACAGGCGCCTGCCACAACGACCGGCTTTTTTTTTTTTGGTTGCAGCTGTCATTGTTGTTTGGCGGGTCTGGGCTGGGGATTCGAACCTGCCACCTTAGTTGTACGTGGCTGGCGCCTTAGCCGGTTGAGCTATAGGCGCCAAGCCGGCCTGGGCCTATTAAACAGCAAACAACAAAATAGCCGGGCCTTGTTGTAGATGCCTGTAGTCCCAGCTACTTGGGAGGCTGAGACAAGAGAATCGCTTAAGCCCAAGAGTTTGAGGTTGCTGTGAGCTTTGATGCCATATCACTCTACAGAGGGTGACACTGTGATACTCTGTCTCAAAAAAAAAAAAAAAAGAGACCTCAGGTCCTTCCCAAGGGAACCCCATCTGTCTGTAAAACTCCCTCAGGGTTTGGCTTTGGGTTTGGTGGGGTAGTTCTTCTCACCTTCCACTGAGGAAGAGTGGCTAGGGTAATGGAGCTCACATAGTCTGTCCCCAACCTCCCAGCAGAGATGCTGGACCATCTGTCCAGGATGGGCCCACACCCTGCAGTGCAGAAGTGAGATTTGCTGGACCTCCTGTGACTACTCCTCTCCCTCCCCCATATCCCTCCCCTCCCCGGCTGTCACTGAAGCCACTGCCTGCTAGGCAGCTGAAGTACTAAGCGGCCCAACTGGTAAGGAAGGACTGGGCTGGTGTCCTGAGGGCCCATCAGATCTTCAGTTGAGAACGATCACCCCTGACCTCCAGTTCTTCCATCCGAGACCACTCCTGGAAACTGAGGTGGCAGCTGAGCTCCCCTTTGTCTCTCCCCCCAGCTCCCCAGCTGTGGAGGAATAGGTGAAGTATTGGATTCCCTGGGGGTGCCCCCTCACCCACCCATATTCCCTTTGCTTGCTATGCAGAGCTGCCTGAAGATGGTGTCCCTTGCTTCTTCCTCCTTGCCTTGACTGGCACCAGGTTTCCAGATCATTGCCTGGGGCACCTTTCTGCCTTGAGGCCCAACAGGGGAGGGGTCATCCCTACCAGTCCCTCCCTGTGCCCATTCCACTCTGGCCTCGCTGCCATCTCCAGCCGGTCCCAGTCCGGGCAGGCTGCCCCGTCATCCGATCCGATCCGCTCTGTAAACTTTACGGGGCGTGTGGGGCGGTGGCTAGCCTGGTGGGGGCGGGGGCTGCTCCTTAAAGGAGCCGTCAGAGTGTGTCCTGCAGCCCCTAGGCTTCTGCCCTTCCCCAGGGAGGGAAGGGGACAGGGTGGGGAGGTGCCAACTGCTGGAGTTGTGGCAAGGCAATCGGGTATTGGTGGAGTGGAGTGTGGCAAGGCAATCGGGTATTGGCTTCGCAGACCTCTAGAGCCTGAGAAGACGAAGACGACACAGCAGCGGCAAGTGTCAGCAGAGGGAAGGAGAGAGGTGAGGGTCCTAGCATGGGAGGAGTCCAGGAGCTGGAAAGCTAGGTAGACGCATGGGAGGTCGGGTCTGGGACCTGCCCCAGCAGTTGCTCCCCTTGCTTAGTCCCACCCCAGGGACCTTGCCCCACCCCCAGGGCTCCTGTGCCCGGCACCTGCCCGTTGGCTCCCGGGAAGGAAGGTAGGCATAGCCTCCAGAGCCTAGCCCCATCTGTGGATCTAACACAGGTATCTGGTTCATGGAGTGAAAGGGCTCAAAGATGAGGGAATCTTGAGTGGCAAAATAAGTAGAGGAGCGGTGAAGGCAGGCTGTGAAGTCTCGGAGGGGAAGGGTGAGAGGGACAGGCTATCTCATTCTTCCTTCTTGATTCCAATTCCTTTGGGTGCAGAGGGGGAATTGCCAGGCATGGAGCTGGGACTGCAAGATCTGACTTGAGAACTTCCCCACGTCAGAAGCTGGGGCTTCTGTCCAGGCTCTGGGTCTCCTGGGTGGCACTTTTCCTTCTGAGGAATGAACTTCACCCATGTCTCAGACTTGAAGGGAGTGATTAGTGCTATAGTCGTATTTGCTCACTTGCATGCCTTCAGAGATGTGCACACTTGTATGTGAATACACACATTTGCACATGCACAAATATGCAACACAGGTGTGGATAAAGCATGCACACTCATACATGTACACACTGCATAGACTGCACACAGTGCCACCTGTGTGCACATGCGAACTTGTGTGCACATGTGCAATATGATACACACCATACATTGATATGTAGACATATATACATGTGTACACACATGCACATACACACTATACATATATGCATATTCACAAAGGGAACTTCAGAAACAGTAACATTCACAGGCACCCACACCCTTGACTGCAACCCCAAAAGTGTCTTTGTTTCTCCATGGGTCTGAAGGTGCACCTTCAGACGCCTGACCCTCCTTTCCCGTCACTCTCATTCTCATGACTGGTTTGTTTTGCCCATTGCACTTGGCGCCCTCTACACCAATCCAAATCCTTGTCGGCCCTCTGCCCTGTCTTGCATGGGGAACTTGTCTATGTCTCCCAGTATCCCTTGTCCCAGGCTCAGGATGGCATGAAGTGGGCAAACAGTGCTTGTGAATTAATATCTGTGAGTGAATATATGGGAGGGGAGGTTATTATGGAGGGTGACGTGGTGGGGCGGGAGCCTGCCAGTGCAGGGTGACCCTGAGGGTGTGCCCAGCGTGGGTGTGTCTGAGATTGTGGCCAAGGCGGGACACCCTCTGAGGGGAGGGCTCAGGGAAGGCTCTGAAGCCGCCCCCCCCAGCCTCTTTCCCCTAGGGGCTGTAATCTGATCCCTAGAGACTCCCCCCTAGTATTCCTCCTTAGCTACAGACTCCTTCTCTTCCAGATCCCAGGGCAGAGTCCAGGGTGGCTCAAGGCTTCTCCACACAAGTCTGCTGAACCCTGAGCACCCTGAGCTGCCAGGATAGGGCGGGCTAGGGCTGCCGCCATGATCCCAGGCCTGGCCTTGCTCTGGGTAGCGGGGCTGGGGGTTGCTGTCCCCAGTCCCCCACGCCTTCGGCTCTCTTTCCAAGGTAGGTGCACCTGGCAGGCAGGAGGGCCAGTTTGGGGTGGGCAGGAAAGAGGTCCCAGTGTGGACAGGGGGGTCTTTGTAGCTGCTGTTGCCTGGTGTGTGCCTCAATAGATCCTGACTGGATATGGAAACACTCTCGGGCCATCTCCATTTAACCCTATCCTGGCCTCAGCCCCCAACTTCTCTGCCCACATTCTCCTCATGCTTTCCCAGGAAGACCCCTCCTGTTCACATAGCAACAGACATTGTCTCTACCCCATTTAGTACCCTCACCAGGCCATACCCCTTCAGCAGAGCAATAGGGAAGTTGACTTTTGACAGTCATCAGAGCCCCCTTCTTATGCCCCCTGAATGGGAGGGTGACTACTAAGCAATGGCAGTGGGCAGGCAGTTGTGCTGAGCTCAGGCTAATTGTTGCCAGTGGCAGGGAAAGAATCTTCAGCCTAACTATTTGGGGTTGGGGTTCTGGCCCAGCTTCTCCCAGAACTCTGGTGTTCATAGGCTTGGCCTCCCAGTTTGCCCACCCAGAGACACTGCTTGTCTGAGCACCCATGTTTAACCTGCTTTCCCCTTCTTGGGGCCTGCACTGCCCACCCTGGCAACTCTACTACACATACCTGGGTGGGCTTATCTGTGTGTGTGTGTAAACTCACACACATCTATAAACTGACATGCATGGGCCAGGTCCTAAGTGCAACATTGGCCTATAGTGAGACAACCAGGCAGGGCCTAGCAGAAAGCTTCCAGGTTAGCTGGTGAATCCTCAGTGGTGTCCCCATCCTGCAGAGCTCCAGGCCTGGCATGGTCTTCGGACCTTCAGATTGGAGCGGACCTGCTGCTACGAAGCCTTGCTGGTGGATGAGGAGCGTGGACGTCTGTTTGTGGGAGCTGAGAACCTTGTGGCCTCCCTAAGCCTGGACAACATCAGCAAGCGGGCCAAAAAGGTGCCAGGGACGCCCACCCTCAGCACCGCCCAGGGAAGAAGCCCTCAGACCCCACTCCACTGCCAGGAGAGAAGAGGGATTGGCTTTACTGAGTGTAGTCACCCAACATAGAGAACATCCCAAGTACCTGACCTATTCTTCCCTCCCTTAATCTTCCCATAGCTGGCCTGGCCCGCCCCTGTGGAATGGCGAGAAGAGTGCAACTGGGCAGGGAAGGACATTGGTGTGAGTGTTAGCTGCCTGGGGCTGGTGTTGGGGGTCAGCCCCTCACCCTGGCAGGGCAGCACCAAAACAGAGAACTGCCTGTTCTTGTTGGGATGAGGGCAGGGAGGTTGAGGTGGCTAAGTCTGGAGGTGGTGAGTCAGGGTGGGGGCTCATGTTATTCTTCCTGGGGGCTTCTGAGTCATGGAGGCAGTGCAGGCTTGAGCCTCCCCCTGTACCCACCCTGCTGAGGGCTGGGTTGGGCTGTTACCAAGTGCACCCAGGTCCCTGTAGCCCATGTTAGCCTTGCCCAGGCCTATGCAGAAGAGGAGTGGGGTTGCTACTGGTGAGCTGGGACCCCTTATGGCTACCTCTCTCGGGGGAAGCCTCACTGCCCATAACCCTGCCTGCCCATTAGACTGAGTGCATGAACTTCGTGAAGTTGCTGCATACCTACAACCGCACCCACTTGCTGGCCTGTGGCACAGGGGCCTTCCACCCAACCTGTGAATTTGTGTTTGTGGGCCACCGACTGGAGGTAAGGCCAGATATAGGCAAGGAGGGCAGTTGGGAGGGTGAGGAAGGGCCTCGCAATGACAACTCTCCCTGCCTCTTAGGAGCCCATGCTCCAGCTAGACCTGCAAAGGCTAGAAGATGGCAAGGGGAAAAGTCCTTATGACCCTAGTCATCGAGCTGCCTCCGTGCTGGTGGGTGAGTCTAAAGGCTGGGACCCGAATAGAAAACTACTAGAACTGCTTAGAAATGTTAGGACTTAGCCAGTTGTTGTGGCAGGTGCCTATAGTCCTAGCTACTTGGGAGGCTGAGGCAAGAGAATTGCTTAAGTCTTGCAAGAGTTTGAGGTTGCTGTAAACTGTGATGCCACAGCACTCTACCAAGGACGACATAGTGAGACTCTGTCTCAAAAAAAAAAAAAAAGAAAGAAAGAGAAAAGAAATGCTAGGACTTCGCAATGACCCAAGACTCCAAGATTCTGGGGATCCCCTGTAGCCTCACTATAGGGGAGAGCCTTCAGAGCTGCCCAGGTCCTCTTACCCCAAGAGGCCTCAGGTAGGCCAGGAGTGTGGCTCACACCTGTAATCCTAACACTATGTGGGTGGCACGTGTGGCTCAGTGGGTGGCAGATTCGAACCAGGCCCTGGCCAAACTGCAACAAAAAATAGCCAGGTGTTGTGGGGGGTGCCTGTAGCCCCAACTACTTGGGAGGCTGAGCAAGAGAATTGCCTAAGCCCAGTAGTTGGAGATTGCTATTAGCTGTGATGCCATGGCACTCTACCAAGAGCAATAAAGTGAGACCCTGTCTCTAATTTAAATAAATAAATAAATAATCCTGGGCTACACCTGTGGATCAGTGTGTAGGACGCCAGCCCCATATGGTGGGGGTTCAGCCCTGGCCGAACTGCAACAACAACAACAAAGACTAGCTGGGCCTTGTGGCAGGTGCCTGTAGTCCCAGCTACTGGGAGGCTGAGGCAAGAGAATCACCTAAGCCCAGGAGTTGGAGGTTGCTGTGAGCTGTGTGATGCCAC